ATAGGTTAATTACTCTTAAAAATAAAGAAATTTTGCCTAAGGTTATAGTCTTCCTATGTGTTGGGAGGTATCTTGCTGTTTACCAGTATCAGAAACTGAAAATCATGAGCCCAATGATTAATGCTAATTTTGACTTCTGTAATCGCTGTCACACCCACTATTGTACTAGTCCTTTGAGGGGGAGCCAAAGGGAATGGGGCTTCTATCTTTAAAAGTGGAGGAGCAAGAAATGTTGGGACTGCTGATCTGAAGGGAGACCATGCCCCATGCAGCTAACTGGTGAAAATAAAGTGCTCCTTTACAATTTGACTATGCATCTCAATTCATGGACACATTACAACACATGAAATCCCTGGTAGTGTTTCCATACAATTACAATGGCATTTGTACTATAAGCTGACCATATCGGGCCAGACTGCTAATTTTACCTTTATCACAGGTGTTGGGGTTAAAGCACAGAATGTTTCTCAAAATTCCTAACGCCCTGTGTCTATCCCCACCTGCACTACATTTCAAGGAACCAACCATGAGTCCCTGGCCCCATATTGGAAGCCTTGCCACTTGAAAGAAGGATGGTCCACAGCTAGCCCTAATTTGAGTCTTATTATTGAGGACCAGGGTCCTCAAGGATGTTTGTTCAGTAATTATCATGAGTTAAACTTTTTCAAACCCTCCAGTGCCTCTATTTCATGCACTAATGGAGGTCTCTCAGGACCTGTTCTCAGGGCTATCTATAAAAATTATATTGGCCCCTGGCACCCAGGAATTTGGAGACTGGGTTTGAGACTTTCTTTATGAGATATATATCTCATGGAAATTATACCCATAGTAACAATTTTACTATGTCGTTGACTACCAATCATATTGATTGGTAAAAATTTGCACCTCTCACCCATATACATTCTTGGCTGCCTCTTCTTTAACTATCTCTGAAAGTAATAATAGATTTAACATTTCTCTCAGTCAACCTAATTATCTAAGCTGCATTACTCATGAAAATATTACTACACTTAACATTACTAGAATTATTTCCTTGTGCTGTAGAGCAGAAGTATGGATACCAGTAAATCTTACTCGACCATGAGAAGGTGAATTTGGCCCAGCACAATTAGCTAAAGCATTTGGACACCCTGTAAAACAAGGTTTATTGGGTGATTAATAGCATTTATCATTTCAGCTATAGTCATTGCTTCTACTGCAGCTGTTTCAGTCACAGTCGACAGAATTAGTCCAAATGGCACATACAGTGGCTGAAGTAATGACCAATGTTATTAAAGATATGACTTCCCAGACAGAAATCAATCAAGAAATTCTGACTCAATTGGATGTTTTAGAGGCAGCTGTATTGTGGCTAGGAGAACATAAAGAGGCTTTACCTACTTGCTCTACATTACATTGTGATTGGGAATTTAGTCATAGTATGTGTGTAACTGCATTGCCTTTGAATGCCACCTCCCACAATTGGACAGTAGTCAAGCAACACTTACAAGGAGCTTTTGCTGGCAACATTGGAGGGCAAGTAGCTCATCTAAAAAAGGCTCTGGAAGCAGTTAGGAGATATACAACAACTTGCTCAACAAAATGTTTTAAAGGCAACCTTAGATAATGTCCAATGGCTTAAGCCAAAACATTGGTTTGAGGATTCAATCTTAGAATCTGGATTCCTACTGCTGTTGGTCATTTTCTTGTTTGTGTTGGCCTCACAGTACAGTGAGGACTCTGGTGAATGGTGTCCTTTGTGCAGAAGACTGAAAAGTGAGTGATGATGCTCCTGACCACCTCAGCCATGGCGATTCCTCAAATACAAGAAAAAACAAAGGGGGGAGCTCTGGCCAGTTTGGCTCAGCGGTTAGAGCATCAGCCTGTGGTCCAGGGAGACCCAGGCTTGGTTCCTGGTAAGGGCATTTACCTCGGTTGCAGTTTGTCCCTGGCCCTGGTTGGTTGTGCAGGTGGCAGCCACTTGATGTGTCTCTTTCACATTGATGTTTCTCTCTCTCTCTCTCTCTCTTCCTCTCTCTCTCTCCCACTCTACCTGAACAAAAAGTAGAGAAATGTCCTGGGTGAGGATTCAAAACAAAACAAAAAGGGGGAAGATGTAGGGATAGGGTTTTGGTGGATGAACAAATTGTAACCTTGTGATATACATTCTAGTGACCTGGCCAGCCTAGAATCAAAGTGTGTGTGGCAGGCAGGTTTTCCTGGAGGGAGGAAGATCACCCAGTTTGGAACTGAATGCTTTGTTTGCATGTGAATAGATAAGGTTTGCATGTCAATGGGTTGGAAGACCACCTCTAGAGGATAATGGGCCCGCAGATGCCCAAGCAAGGATGGATTTATTATTATTATTATTTTTTTATCTTTGATGTCTCTTTGCCATAAAAAGTGAGACAGGGCTTGAGATGGCAGAGGCGCCAACTCAAGAAAATAATTTACCTAATCAACATGTAACCTGGGGAACCACTCCGCAAATAACTTGGGCTGCATCCAGAGATCTGGAGCATTTTGTTCTCTTGAAATGTTCCCCCTCACTTCTACTAGTGTGTGTTTGTAGTTTATTGTATTGCGCTGACCCCCCCCGGCCGGCTGAGAGAGATGGTAGGTTTGCCATCCAGTCCCTTTCCTTTGGTGTCATCATGGTGGGTTTAAGAGTGTTTGAAGATAAGCATTTCCTTCTGTGAGGCACACTACATAAAACAGATTTGGATTGGGGGTGATAGAACTCTGGGTACCTTATAGGCTTCCTTTCAACCTGGAATTTAGGTCCTGAGGATCTCAAGGAGGGAAAGTTTGCAGAAGCCTGAGGTTGTGGGCTTCTGTGGTGGCTGGTTTGCAATAGTTCTAAGACTTCTCTTTGTTAACTTTATAAGAGACAATAAATACCTGGCCCCAAATGATGTTTTGAAAATCATGGGTGTAGGTTAGAGTTCAAACCTGAGAGTTTTGAGATGGGATTTGAGGCTTTCTCTTCCCTGCTGGGAGGGAAGGTTAGCTATAGCCTTCTGGCTGGGCAGAGGTGGTGGTGGGGTGGAGGTGTCAGGCTTGGGGGTTCAAATGCAACTGCAAGCAAGGGTGCTGTGTAGCTATGAGGCTGTGAGGCTGTTCACTCTCACAGCTATATGTGCATTCTCATTTCTGACCCTGCATGAAAGGCCAGTGGAGAAGGGGATTATCTGGAGCTCTAAGTAATTTTTAGGACAGGCCTGGCCTTGATGAGCTCTGTTCTGTACTTAAATGTTAATGAGGACTGACTGGGAGCTCAGAGTCTGGGATTCTCCCTTTATGTGCTGCATCATCTTGCATAAATCATGAAACCTCCCTTGAGCTGGTTTTGGTGTTTCTGCCATCTTGTTAATGTCAATAGCACTGAGTGAACATGTTTATCTTTATGAAAGGATTGGCTTCAGGGGCCTTTGGAATCACAGGATAAATTTAATGTCTTGTGTCATAGTTGCTACCACTGTTCCTGAATTAAATGACAAGGAGATAAATCAAGGCAGCAAAAAAATTTGAGGATTTGGAATTACAGTTTTACTGTCATCACTGAAGGAAGCTGAGGGTCATTCATTTTGATTATTCACATTAATCAAGTTTATGACAGTGTGCTAAATGGCCATACATATTTAATGCAGATTTTCTTTTTCCTGTGAATTATCAGGTCCATATTTTTTAAAGGCAGCAACATTTTTGTACTAATCCATAGTTTGAAGAGGGGCTGGAGAGGAAGAATTTCAAAGTGAGGGGCCCCTGCATTTGCACCAGGCTTACTGGTACAGGGTGTATGGAGCCATCTCTTTTCTGAGTGAAGACTTTGGCAACTCTTGGGTTTCTGCTCTGTGGTCCAGTCTTCCATGCTTCCAGTGCAAGCACAAGGCCTGTCTTTTACAAGGATCTTGGGTGGTCTCCTCCCCCTGAACCCTTGTCAGCATGTCCACCCTTGACCTTGTCTTCCCTCTCCTGGGAATATGGGGGGGGGGGGGGTATAGGCCTCCCTCTGCTTGGTGCATTTCTTTGGGATATTTTCCCCGCACTTTATCTTATCCCACTTGTCCAAGCACAGCTGTGCATAAGTTGATTCTCAAAGGCAGCAGAGAGAATTGAATGGACATCCCAAGTCAGAATAAAGCACTGCAGGATGTGCTGCCCACCCTGGCCACTCATGATATGGACATAGGCCTGTTTCTGACTGCTTTGATCTCCAGTATGTTGTATTCATTGACTAGCGGCTAGAAAAGCCCTGGAGTACTTTATAGAAGTAACTTAGATTGGTCAGACCACTCTGTAAGGGGGACTCCTCAATATTCACCTCATATTCCTTAATTGTCCTTTAACAGGTAAAGCAACAGCCATTGCTTTGAGATGGTCAGTTTTTTATTCATATTTATTTATAACTTTTTTCATCCATGAAAGGTCAAGATGCTCAATAGCAGACTTAGTCCCTTTGCCCAGTGCTGTAATTATTAAGATGAAAGGATAGATCTGTGGGCTTTCTTCAGGGACCTGGGACCGTGGGGTAATCAAGTGTGAACCACTGGGTAATTGGGTGGGAGGGGCTTTTATAGGGGTTGAGAACCCAAAATATTTCCATTGGAGGATTCAGTCCTATATGTTCAGGCTCTGAGACTAGTAGGTGTACAACATCAGTAAAATTCGTTAAATTTAGAAGTTAATTTGAAGTATTTAATTTAACTGTGGGTTGGTTATTCTTTCATCCCAATTACTCTGTAATGGCACTTCCATTCTGTTCTCTGGGAGATATTATTTTAAAAGTGACACCAGCTGGGCCAGTGTGGTTGAGTGGATTGAGTGCTGTCCCATTGACTGACAGGTCCTGGTTTTATTCCCAGTCAGGGCACATGCCCAGGTTGTGGGCTCAGTCCCTAGTAGGGGGCATATAGGAGGCAGCCTATTGATGTAGCTCTCACATCGATGTTTCTATCTCTCTCTCTAAAAAACAAAATCAATAAAAACTTAAAAAAAAAAAGTGCCAGAAGCTGTAGTATTGCTGAGAGGCAGAAGTCAGTGACAATGCAGAACAGACACCTCGAACCTCTGGAGCCAGGGGATGACCCAGACTTCAGAGTAGCAGCTGAGAATCTGAAACAAAGAAGAGCACCCTAAGAATCATGCTACCTGTCACAAAGGCCACCCATCCTATAGAGGCTGTCCACCTGAAGCTCTGCAGTTTCCAGTGCTGTGGCCTGTGGGCTGTTCCTGTGGTTGCATGCCACGTGTCTGTGTGTGAATGTGTGTGTTTTTATTACTGACGAATTCCCTTCTTTCCCTGAGGGTCCTTATAAAAAAAATTAAAGAATAATTCAAGAACATATACTTTTGTCTGGCCAGTGTGGCTCACTGGTTAAGTTTCGACCCATGCACCAAGAGGTCGCAGGTTTGATTCCTGGTCAGGACACATGCCCAGGTTGTGGGCCAAATCCCCAGTAAGGGGCATGCGGGAGGCAGCCAATTGATAATATGTTTCTATCTCTCTCTCTCTCTCTCCCTTCCTCTCTCTCTAAATCCAATAAAGGGGGGAAGAATATATACTTTTGCCTATATTTACAAATTACTAAATTTTGCCACACTTGCTTTCTCCCTGTGTGTGTATATACATTTGTGAATTCTTTGAAAGGTCTCTTTCTGCTCTAACCTACCCCTGAATGTAGTTGTGCCTCTCTGAGGAGGGGGTCTCCCCTCTATGTCTGCCCATGTTTGTAGGGTCCTGTTGGATGCTAAGAGGCCTGGCCTCAAGAGTGAAATCTGGAGTTGTGGGAATAGAGAAGGGATGAAGGAGTGTTTCCCAAAGCCCTGGAGAGAGTGGGTGGGGCTAGGAAAGCAGTGAGGGGTCTGAGGAGATGAGACCCTTTTGCTTACCTGCTTTAAGGTGTAGTTGGTCTGGAAGTCACAGTTGTCCAAACTGGGGTGCTTGGTTTTCTTGCAAGTAGTTCTGCCAATTTTCACATCCAGCATGTATTTCAGCCCTTTCACTATCTAAAGAGAACAGAAGGCAGGGCCTGGGTTACTTGGTTCAGGTCAGGAGGGATGGTAGCTCTTCTCCCAGCAGAAAGTGGCTTTAAGATAGGTGGTGAAGATGCCCTGATGACTGGTCCATGCCCTCTGGAAAGGGAGTGAATGGTGGAGAGGAAATGTCAAACGTCTTTAAACCACTGTGGTGAGAAAGCCTGTGACTGACTGCATCCAGACCCCTCCATGTTCTTTCCTTTCTTTGTTCACTCATCTTTTCATTTCTGCCCAGGGACTTAGCTCTTGGTTCCAGGGATGAAAGGTGTGCTCTGTGTCCTGCCTTAGGACATCTCATTCCTGCCCCCAGACACTCCATCAGGCATCAGGAGAGTGACAGACTAGGGTTGCCCTGGGGTCAGGGCAGCCTCAGGGCAAAGATGAACTCCTGCTCCCCACCCCATGTCCTAACCACCCACTATCACCTGCCCTGTGAGGCCTTTACATGGGATGAGTGTAAATACGATGTCTGCTGGCTCTCCTCACCATTGGTGGAGGTATTTTATTTTTCAGTTTCAAAAATAGCCCTTCTTGAGTAAATGGAAGATGGTGGCAGGCAGGACTGGAGGGGAAGTGAGTGTGTGAGAGAGTGCGCTAGTGTGTGAGAGAGTGTGAGTAGACGTGAAGGTGGACAACCAAACCCAAGCAGTGCAGAGCCACTGAGCAGAAAGTTCCTGTGCGGTGGACGGGAGCAACCAACTACCACGGTAAGCGGCTCTTCAGGGTGCTTCTCCCTGGACCACGAGGAGGTCCCACCATTTTGGAAGATCCTGGGTCTTCCCTGGGAGGCAGTGGGAGAGGCTAGGGCCCAGCAACCTGAGCCGACCAGCACACCTGACACCATTGGATCAGTGGACACTCTGTGTCAACACAGACCTGTGCACAGTAGTAGAGCTCCCAAGGTGCTGGTCACGGAAGCGATGGACATCCAGGAGCCCAGCACCATCCCCCATAGTAGCAGCCTGATCAAGTCGAGATATACCCCCAGCAACAGAGGCTGGGGAGCAGATATCCATCCCCAGGCAACAGAAGCACAGACCAGCAGCAGAGACCCATTCCCAAAAACTACAGCAAAAGCTGAGCAGGACTAAAGCCCCACGGGGCAGCAGCACTCCCCAGGCACCAGTGGTGGGACCTGGGTCTCCACAGAAGGCTGTGAGGTCCAGCAGCTCACAAGTGCAGTGGAAAGACGGAGCCAGAGAGGGACTGGTGTGATCCATGGGACCTGCAGGGTGTGAGGGCACCAGAGAGGCCTGTGGGACACAGCAGGGACTGTGTGATCCACCTACCCATGGGACCTGCATGGTGCTGAAGCACCAGAGAGGCCTGTGTAACCCGACAGGCACTGTGCATTCCAGTTACCCACAGGACCTGTGGGGTGCTGAAGCACCAGATAGACCTGTGCGACCCAGCACCCCATAACATAGGCATAGAGCCGGGTCCTCAAAGGGACTGTGCAATCCAGTTACCTGCAGGACCTGCAGGGTGCAGAGGCACCAAAGAGACCTGTGCAATCCAGCTGCACACAAGATAGGCAAAAAGAATTTGAAAATGGAGGCAAAGTGAATAGAAGTTATGCAGACAATTTCTCAAGACCAAACGGGAATTACAACTAAAATAAAGACAAACCCTCATAGAAAAAACAGCAGGATAGGACCATATAATCAGGGGCACGGGTAGGATCTATGAAGGTGGAAGAAGGTGGCAGGCTAGGAGCTCGTGTACAGCAGCATTCTTACTTGTGAGCAGCGCCCTTGGGGAATAATGAGCAAGCTCGCTCCACAGCGCAGAGAGCTGGACAGAGTGCTAAAATAGCCACAGCCACTCACCTGGGGGCTACGGCAGAGGGAGGGCAGACTGCGCTGGAACTCTGTGAGGACAACCGGGATTTGGAGGGCAGTCAGAGTTTATTCTGAGTTGTGGCCACAAAGGACGGTGGCCACTGTGCTTCTTCCCTGAGCTGTGGGGAAAAGCAGCAGCCCCCATCCCCCCCCCCCCCCACACACACACATACACACAGTTCGGAGATTCAGCCTTTCCCAGGAGAGGCACAGAAATTTAAAGTGAGGCTCATTAACAACCAGTATCTATCCCATCCTCTGGAAATCCTCTTATGCAAAACACCAGGGCTACAGTCCAAGGCACTGAGTAACACACTACTAGCCACCAGGGAAAAGCTAGATAGGATAACTAAACCTTTCCTGGGCTTGCAAATCTACCAGGAAAGTAGGACTTGACAGTGGTGTTTAACATGGGCCCACACAAGCTCATCCAAAACCAGTAGATAGAGCCACAAACAAGAACACCAACACCTACAGGGAAAATTTGGCAGGCTCCAAAACCTACTGAAAAGGCCAAAATGGTGAAACAAAGAAACAAATCACAAATGATAGAACAAGAGAACTCTATCCAAGATGAGATAAATGAAATGCAGCTAAGCAAATTATCAGAGGTAGAGTTCAGAGCCATGATCTTGAGGAAGCTCAACAGTAGGAGTAAGGACATTATCACCATGAGTAAACATATAAAAACACTGAAAATCAACCAAGTGGAAATGAGGAATGACATAGCAGAAATTAAGAACACATTGGAAGAACTAACCAGCAGAGTAGAGGAAGCTGAGGACCACATCAGTGAATTAGAAGACAGGGTAGAAAAAACCAACCAATCAGAAAATCAAAAGAAAAAACAATTAAAAAACAGGAAGACAGCTTAAGAGAACTGTGGGACAACTGGAAGTGTATTAACATTTGTAACATACCAGTCCCCAAAGAGGAAGAAAATGGGAAAGGGTTAGAGAATATATTTGAAAAAACAGTGACAGAAAACTTTCCTAACTTGGTGAAGGAAGAAGACATTCAAGTTCAAGAAGCACAGAGAGCCCCAAGTAAGAAGAACCAAAACATACCCACAGCAAGATACATAGTAATTAAAATGTTAAAAATTAAAGACAGAGAATCCTAAAGGCATCAAGAGATAAGCAACAGGTTCCCTACAAAGGAAACCCCATACATCTCTAAGCTGACTTCTCAACATAAACACTACAGGCCAGAAGGGAGTGGCGTGAAGTAATCAAGGTCATGAAAAACAAGGATCTCAATCCAAGACTACTCTATACAGCAAGGCTATCATTCAAAATAGAATGTCAAATAAAGAGCTATCCAGTCCAAAAAAAAAAAAAAAGGCTAAGGGAATATATATATATATATATATATATATATATATATATATATATAAAATAAATTATTTATTTATTTTTTTGTTACAGATATTTTACCTTTTTTACCACATTGGCACCCCCCTCACCACCCCACCCCCGCCCCGTCCCCGGCTTAGTTGTCCATGTCCATTGGTCATGCATACATGCATATAAGTTCTGTGGTTTCTCTCTTCCCACCCCCCCACCCCCTCTTCTGAGGGATGTCAGTAGGTGCCCTACTTCCATGTTTCTGGGTCTACTGTACTCCTCAGAATGTTATGTTCATTATATTCCATATATAAGTGAGATCATGTGGTATTTGTCTTTTTCTGCTTGGCTTATTTCACTTAGGATAATACTTTCCAGTTCCCTCCATGTCCTCTCAAAGGATAAGAGATCTTTCTTTCTCACCGCTGCATAGTACTCCATTTTGTATATGTACCACAGCTTTTTTATCCATTTCTCTACAGATGGACACTTGGGCTGCTTCCAGATCTTAGCTATTGTAAATAATGTTGCTATGAATATGGGGGTATATATATTCTTCCTTATTGGTGTTTCAGGCTTCTTAGGGTATATTCCTAGAAGTGGGATCACTAGGTCAAGTGGAAGTTTAATTTTTAATTTTTTGAGATAACACCATAGTGTTTTCCACAGCAGCTGCACCAGTCTGCATTCCCACCAACAGTGTACTAGAGTCCCCTTTTCTCCACACCCTCGCCAACACTTGTTGTTTGATGATTTGTTAATGGCGGCCATTCTGACAGGTGTGAGGTGATACCTCATTGTTGTTTTAATTTGCATCTCTCTAATGATTAGTGATGTTGAGCATTTCCTCATATGTCTCTTGGCCATTTGTATGTCCTGTTTGGAGAGGTGTCTATTCAGCTCCTCTGCCCATTTTTTAATTGGGTTCTTTGTCTTCCTTTTGTGGAGTTGTATGAGCACTCTATATATATTGGAAATTAACCCCTTATCTGATACATCATTGGCAATGATGTTCTCCCATACACTGGTTGCCTTTCCATTTTGATGATTGTTTCTTTTGCTGTGCAGAAGCTTTTTAGTTTGATGTAGTCCCATGTGTTCATTTTTTCCTTTGTTTCTGTTGCCTTAGGTGAGGTATCAGTGAAAATTCTGCTCCATATGATGTCTGAAATTTTATTGCCTACATTTTCTTCTAGAATTTTTATGGATTCACGGGTCACATTTAAGTCTTTTATACATTTTGAGTTTATTTTTGTGTATGGTGTAAGTTGATGGTCTAGTTTCATTTTTTTTTTGCATGTAGCTGTCCAATTTTCCCAACACCATTTATTAAAGAGGCTGTCTTTACTCCACTGTATGCTCTTGCCACCTTTGTCAAATATTAATTGAGCGTATTGCCTTGGGTCCATTTCTGGGTTCTCTGTTCTGTTCCACTGGTCTATGTGCTTGTTCTTGTGCCAGTACCAGGCTGTTTTGGTTACAGTCGCTTTGTAGTATAACCTGATATCTGGTATTGTGATCCCACCTACTTTGTTCTTCTTTTTCAAGATTGCTGTGGCTATTCGGGGTCTTTTTTGGTTCCATATGAACTTTTGAAGTATTTGTTCTAGTCTATAAAATATGTCGTTGGTATTTTAATGGGGATTGCATTGAATCTATAGATTGCTTTGAGTAGTATGGACATTTTAATGATGTTAATTCTTCCAATCCATGAACAGGGTATGTGCTTCCACTTTTTTATATCTTCCTCTATTTCTTTTTTCAATGACCTGTCGTTTTCTGA